CCCCCGCCCCCGCCCCCGCCCCCACCCCCGCCCCCGCCCAGCCCGGGCCGACGCCGGGAGAGCGATGACTATTATCCCCGGCCCCGGGCCGCCCTGCCTCCGGGTGTATAGCCCCCCCATCCTCGCGCGGACTGGCGGGCGGGGCGGCTCCGGGCGGAGGGGCGACACACCTCCGCCGGGACTCGGCATGCACGGGAGGGGCGGCGGCGGGGACCATGCACACACACACACACACACACCAGCCAGGGTGTGCCCTTATGCCGGGAGGGGGGGGGGGGGGTGGTCTGTGCATACCTCGCGCCAGCCCCCCGTCCTCGCCCAGACACTCGTCCAAGCGCCGAGGGGCGGCCCCCGCGCCCCATCCCCCCCCCCGTTGCGGAGGGGGGCGGGGGGCTCGATCGCGGAACACAAAGCGGGAAAATTGGCTCTTTTAAAATATATTGTTGTTGTTCCTCGCGCCAACGGCGGGCACACGTTGCCCTCCGCCCCCCGCCCCCGAGGCGCCCGGCTCTCGACATCCGCCTCCCGGCACCGGCGAGCGACGACGCAACGCAGGTCACATCCCCGCTTCAAGGGGGGGGGGGCCGTTTCCCAGGCGCGCTCCCCCCCGTCCCCGCGCCTTCGGGGGACGAGGGGGCGGGGGGCCTGGCAACCGCGCACAGCGCCCTCTCCGGCCGGGTCCGCGTGCGCGGGTTGGGAAAGAAAAAAAAACAACCAGACGCCCGGCCCCAAAAGTGAGGGCCGCGCACGCGGGCCGGCGGGTTTGTTGGCGCGTCTGCGCGTCACTTCCCCAGGCCGGCACCCAATCGGAGGGCACCCGCCCGCCCGCCCGCCCGCCCGCCCGCCCGCCCGCCGCCCCCGGCCTTGCTGACCCTGGCGTCCAGGCGTCCTCCGGTCCCTCGCGCATCGGCGGTTGTGTCCGTCCCCCCCCCCCCCTGGGGGGCGAGCACCTGTTGGACACGCCCTTTTACGTGCCCCATACGGCGGCCGCCAGCCGGCCGG